TTTTAAAGTATCAGACTTGCCTACCACCTCAACCCAGAATGGCATCCTGGCCCAACAGAAATTTCTACAAGGTTGAAGCCAGCATATATATCTCTTCATACAGAAAAGTCAGTCTGATCGAATAACAGCTAATTCAAAAATGGGCACAAATATGCACACGAGGATGACATGCTGCACAAGCTACCACAAGTTAAATATTTTGGGTTTTAGATAATTACATCAATACCGTACTGAAGCTGTATCTGAAATGAAAGCTAGGGCTTTCTCATCAGTATCTACTGCAAGGTCTATAGTCACCTTTCTTCAAACTGAATCAACATCAGCCTCTTGGATATTGTAATGGCCATACCCTTACCATCTACCAAATGACCAAATGTAATGCCAATGACCTAAGACACCACACTTCTGCAGCACCATCCATCATCCAAAACACACCAAACCCAGTATCTCTCCTCTGTAAGTAATATATATTATATACTTCACTAGCAACTTCCACCCAACAATCACTGTGGAAATAAACATCATGTGAATTACATATACAAACTTGCTATGGTACAAAAGAGAAAACTATCCTCAACCATACAAATACCCACCTTACACCACACTACCCTGACAGCGATATGGAAAATCATTAAACCTATATCCAGGAAGAAATTTTTCCTTAATTTTCCCATCTAACTTTCAAAGAGCTCACCAAGATCAACAACATCAGCAAATATTCTGCAGATTAACAAATACCAAGTGAAACCAAGTCCTGCCATGCTAAGTAAAACACATCTCTGCAGCCCCCACAACCAGACCCTCCCCATACTAACAGGAGTATGAAAATCCATTGACCCTCTCACACTCATCCCAAACGTCAAACTGTTTTTTCCTATTCCTCAAATTTCTCTCATGGAAATTATGTAAGTGAAAACAACTGTCACAACACATCAGAATGAACTCACATCATCAATTAAGAAAAATCAGCGTCAGTGAGATAAATTATTTCACAGAACCAAAACCAGCCTCTCAGTTTTGAGTTTAGAGGGAGCCAATTTAATTTCTTCAGGATACAAGCATGAACTCTACTGGGTATTAAAACTGTGTACTCAGTAAATTGGTTTTATGGTATAAAAGAATACATCTATTGAGTTTACAATATTTAGCAACCCAATCCTCCTTTCACCCTACCTCCTTGTGATCTCACTACATTGCACAAACACAATTGATACTGAAACTTCCTAATTTTCCTAGGTTACAAACTGATTATTGAAATTCACAGTTTTCTGCTTGTCAGAACTCATAAAAACTTATAAACCCAAAGCATGACTTTCGCTTTTTCAGCATCTGACACAGTAAAAGATACTAACACTCCTTAATGAAATTAAATGCAGTAATACCCATATTCTGTAACAATCCTGAATTCAGCTATCTGATTAAGAACACAAACAGAAGTAGCAGGATCACTAGTATATCGTCTGTAGTAACATTCATACCAAATTTAAATCATTGTCCCGGATTGCTAACTCAAACTAAAAACCCAAAAATATTAAGGTATCGAACACATGACTTCAAACTATGGAATGGCAGTTGTCTAACTATGTATTATCTATAAATATTGAAAATGTTAGTTTTCTCAAAATGTTTCTACTTTGGTTGCTCACAAGATGAAATCTAGGGGGTCTCTTAAGCAATCAGTCCATATACTTGCAAATAAATCTTCAGAGGAAAGACACATGCGTCAAAAAATGGGAATTATATTAAAAACAGGAATTTACAGTAAAATATGAAAATAATTAAACACAAATTTTTCTGTGCCTATGTCCAATTTACAGCAATGACGTATTAAACAAGATGCAATATAGCAAATGTCAGCTTTTTGATGTGTAAAAATATAAACCAGTTTTCTAGATCTAAAAATGGATCGAAACTTTTCTATAGGGTACAACTGAAAACAAGGGCTCCACCCTTTATACAATCATTATAATGAAGTATCATCTGATGAGTATCTGAAAATATTCTTTGAAACTGCTTTACAGATCATGCGATGTATTCTGTAGTAACATGATTATCTTCTTGCATGTAATACAACAGAATTGTGATTTCTTGCTTGTTAGCTTCTAAAACTACAATTCAGCATATGTATTTGTCAAAATCCCTATAGTAACATAAAATATTGTGCAGAAAATGTTCTGTGCCAATCTGCAATAATGTTACTTTTTAGTGTGCAGAGCTATGTGAGTATGAACTGACAACTTCACATTTTCAGATCAATTCTGTCTAATATAGTTTATGTTTCCCTATAATTTAATTTGGGATCTCTATGGGAACAGATTCTAGAAAACTTTTCATAATAGTTTTGGGATTGTGAATGTACAAATGTAAAACTTCTCAAACTCTTTGGAAGCAAAGGTTTTATCATGTGAAATCGAAAGGTCATTTTACACATATTTTGAGTAAGGTACTTGGGGTACATAACCACAATGCCATTTGAGCATGCAAAGTAAAACTATTTTCATAGCCACACTGCAAAAAAAAAGGTAGTTCTATGAATGATATCATATTATAAAAGCCTTTTAGTACTCATTTCAAGGTAAATATAAGTAACATTGAAATATGTTTATGATAATTTTGAAGAACCACCACACATACAGTTAATATTTTAGAGGAATATAAGGATGAGTCATTTCTGTTTAAGTTTCTAATGGTTGCTTTCTGATTCCTAACATTATTAAGTTGTACTAATGCACTTAAATAAACTACAATATTAAGCTTCTCAATCCTAATTTTAATACAGGTTAATGGTGCATTCATTTGCAAATATAGGTAGATGTTTGCAGTTATCTTCACTGAGAGACTCAGATTCTACTGCATTGTATTTTCATCATATGACTGGATGGACAGACACTAATGCAGTGAAATGACTCAGGCATGAACCACAAAATCAGCAAGCACATGCCCATTCCATTACAGTGCCTCCAATTTTGTCATGATACTGGGGACATCTTTAGAGTGTCTCAAAACCTTCCAAATGTTAAATAGCATGCCAAAATTTTGAGGCTAGAAAAAAAGGGAAAGTCTCTATCGGTTTCCTTCTAATGAGCAGAAATAATCCCTGCAGAAATCAAAGAAGAAATTTTATATTTTAGCCGCAGTGTGAAAGCTTCATACCCTTCTAAAACACGTGCTTAATTTTAACCATAAATTGTCTTTTGTTCCAGTAACTGCTAGATCAGATTTTATAACTTACATTTTGAATACAGATTAAAAGACTTTCCGATTTTAAAATCTACTGAACAATACTCTGCTTTCCTGATTCTCTTTCTACTCTACAGACCACCACTTGAATGTATGAATCATTTCATGGGCTTTCCCATAGAAACACTTAAGTTCAGGGCAATTCTCCTTCAGTGGGTTGTTTTTGGTTTTTTTTTTTTGATGATCTATCTAACAATTAGTTTTCTTCCAGCCTCTATTTACATTTAATTTTATGTCCCATTGCTCTGAATCAGTTGTGACTCTGACATTACCTGTCCAAATTATGAGTTTTCCCTCTATGCTTCCCAATACTTTTCGTTGCTGACTGGATCACTGTCTTGTTTCCATCTGGCTCTCAAAGTTAATTCATAATCCAGTGTCTTTTTCATGAACAAATAAAGACTGTGAGGTTTTTTCCCAGATACCTCAACCCTTTAAAAATGAGTCTTACAGTTAATGTTCTGAAGGTCTTTAGATCCAAGAGATGTTACAAGTGATGTAGCAATTCCCAGTTCTTCAGTCTCTCTCCAAATCCAAATCATTATCTTAGCTTGTCTTCTATGCCAAAAAGTACATGCTACTTTCTGTGGACCCTTCTATTACACTCAATATGCTTTCCTGTCTCACATGTCATTTAACATAGCATTTCAGAGCTATCTATGCTCCGTAAACTTTGGCATAATGCAGGTTTTTCTCAGCCAAGTGCTTTGTCAAAAATTTCCCCATAGTTTTGAAACTGATCTCTTTGCTTGGGCTCAGTCCCCCCAAATACCATACCATACCTTTCAGATTCTTTATCTTCATTTCTGTGCTCTGCCCGAAGGCAGGTTACCGGTATGTCTCCCTTCTATTTGGGCTGCAGTAAATTCAGTAGTACAGTTTCATAGCTGGCTTCCTCTTGAATTGCTTGAAATTTACTGAAAATATGAAGTGCTTCTTAAACTGGTCTTGTCAGAAATAAAACTACTTTCTGTCTTCCTTTGCCAGACACTCATTACTGATACAGAGGAAAGTGGTGCTTAAGCCTTTTCCAGCTGTCCTCCACATTTCCAGAGTTTCAACATTTGGAGGACTATTAACCGTTACATCTTTCCACTTACGTGGAGGGGTCTTTTTTCCTTAATTTTACTTCTGTTCTTCAGAACTTAGTCAGAGAAAAGGAGTATGACAGTCAGGAGTTTCATTTCATTTCTAAACCGGGTGAAACTTATAAAATGAGACCGTCATTATAACTACCACTACCAAGAGCCTCCTAAAGCACAATTCCTCCCACCACGGCTATACTTCATCTGAACCATGACGGTTCCAAGTATTATTAACCAAAAATATATTCCAAATATATTAACCTGAAAAAGATGAGTGTTGCTGGTGGAGACATGGTAAGAAAAAGCAGAAACGGCTTCAGGTGAGGGCAGACTAATAGAGCAGCGATGTGGGAACGGCCACGGTGGGGGAAAAAAAGCAGCTCAGCAAAGTGGTGTGAAATGCTCCTGTTTTATTAAAGCAAGGAAAATAATTTCAAGCACAGAACAACGAGGTCTTAAGAGAGAGAAAAGAAACGATGCCACACCTGCGGAGCACGAGGTGGCTGCAAGGGGGGAGGCACCGAGCAGCCCCCAGGTGGCCCCAGCAGCCCCCGCACAACAGGCGGCCGCCTGCTGCCGCGGGAGCCCGCGCTGCCGCAGCGCCTCTGGGGGCCGCCCCGCAG